CCCTGCTTTCATTGAGGGGATGTTGTATTATCTGCAGTCTTTTGCTTTCACAGGGAGTGATTTTCATGTGCAAGTTTGGTACTAATCCCTCTAGGATTTTCCAAGTGTACCGTAGGGCGCCACTTACATGGCAGGTTAGGTTCCAGGCTACTGCCAGAAAGCAGACATCGCTGGAAAGCAGAACGCCATTTTTTTTCCACTTATAAATGCATATAAATGCTGGGTAACAAGTTTACACTAATATATATTATGTTAACAATAGAACTAGGCATTAAAAACAATAAAAAGTAAAATACACATACAGTACACCCATTACTTACCTTAAAATATTTCTAGTCTTAATGTAGGGTGAGAGGTGAGTTTAATTTATAATAAGTCAGGTTTGGGAGGTATGGTAGCCAGCCAGGTCAACCCTCCCCACCCACACGTAAAATACTACGCTTAATTACAGCTCCCCAGAGTGAAAAAATACATATACAGTACATTCATTAATTACCTCAAAATATTTATAGTCTTAATGGAGGGTGAGAGGTGAGTTTTATTTGTAAGAAGTCAGGTTTGGGAAGTATGGGTAGTTTGCAGGGGCAGCCCTCCCCACACATAATGTAAATAAACTAGATGAGTGTGTCTGGTTTCCGTCACTTTACATTGTGTACAAGTTGTCCCCACGTTGATACAGTGGAATAAATAAAGAGAAACACTCCCATTCTCATGTAACACCAGTTTTAGAAGAAATGAGGTCATGAGTAAAGGCATACGAAACGAATAATTTTCTAGTTACCCCCAGTAATATTATAGTTTACACATTGTCTCTGATGTTGGACTACAAGTCGCCTGGCTACCACAAGTCCTACAAGTTGCCTGGCTACCACAAGTCCTAAAAGTTGCCTGGCTACCACAAATCCTACAAGCTGCCTGGTTACCACAAGTCCTACAAGTCTCCTGGCTACCACATCTCAACCACATCAACAAACCGGCCGTATCCCACCAAGGCAGGGTGGCCCAAAAAGAAAAATGAAAGTTTCTCTTTTTAAATTTAGTAATTTATACAGGAGAAGGGGTTACTAGCCCCTTGCTCCCAGCATTTTAGTCGCCTCTTACAACACACATGGATTAGAGAGGAAGAATTCTGTTCCACTTCCCCATGGAGATAAGAGGAAATAAACAAGAACAAGAACTAGAAAGAAAATAGAAGAAAACCCAGAGGGGTGTGTATATATATGCTTGTACACGTATGTGAAGTGTGACCTAAGTGTAAGTAGAAGTAGCAAGACGTACCTGAAATTTTGCATGTTTGTGAGACAGAAAAAAGGACACCAGCAATCCTACCATCATGTAAAACAATTACAGGCTTCCATTTTACACTCTCTTGGCAGGACGGTAGTACCTCCCTGGGCGGTTGCTCTCTACCAACCTACTACCTAGGCATCTCATATTTATGTTAATTTATTCTACTGTGGGGTGGATGGATTAAGCAAAATGTCTATATTAACATTTTATACGATATTTAATGCTCCTTAGAATGATTATTATTGCGTGTTATTATTATCATTATTAATATGGCATTTCAAGACTAATAAGACACTCTTAGTGATTTTAATTTATGACGTAATGTTTTCCCTCCACCCGGCTACCACACCTCCATAATATATAAACATAAAATGTTTATATGCTATGTAATGTGTTTCTTATATAATTTTGAAGAAAATATCATAGATGGATTAATGAAAATATTTATATTAATGTAAAATAAGACATTTAATGTGCCCAAGAGTGATTATTATTAGTATTACGTAATGTTTTCCCTCTACCCGGCAACCACATTTCCATAGCATATAAACAGCATGTTTATATGCTATGTAATGTGTTTCTTATATAATTTTGAAGAAAATATCATAGATGGATTAATGAAAATGTCTATAGTGACATAAAATTAGACATTTAATGTGCCCAAGAGTGATTATTATTACATAATAGAGATGTGCTCATGGAGAATGTAAACAAACCGGGTGGCATGCGCCGTATTTGAAAGACCGCTTGATGTATAGAAAGTTTTGGTCATAATTTGAGATCACCATATTAGCAGAACGCCGTAAGGCAAAACGCCAAAAAGCGGGGTCCTACTGTATATAATCATGTATCTCTCCTGTCTGCATTCTAGGGGGTACAAGTTGAGGAACTTCAAGTGTTCCCAGTAAATGAGGTGTTTTATCACACGTATGTGTGTTGTGATGGTTCTCTGTACATTTTCTAGGTCAGCAATTTCACCTGCCTTGAAAGGTGCTGTTAGTGTGCAGCAATATTTCAGCCTAGATAGAACAAGTGACCTGAAGAATGTCATCAAGGGCTTGCTTGTATACAATGTAAGGCATTTGTATTGTGGGGAAAACACTTCACAATCGTATGCATAATGCCAGTTGAACACTTAACAACCAGTGGACAGGTATGAAATACATATCCATGTGACTGCCCACCCAAAACACTGACATCATCTATGCATTTGTAGAGCATATCCAATGGTGTTTGATAGTAATTTTATTCCTACAAGTGAAACTGGGTGTTGCTGTGAGTTCTGTTTCTCTCTTGGTTCTGTCTGGAAACTTTCCAAAGTTTCAAATGTTTTAAAGTTATTATGTCATAAGACTCTTACTTTAAATGAACTCTAAGGAGAAAGTTTTTTTTTTTTTTTCAACAAGTCGGCCATCTCCCACCGAGGCAGGGTGACCCAAAAAGAAAGAAAATCCCCAAAAAGAAAACACTTTCATCACCATTCAACACTTTCACCTCACTCACCAATAATCACTGTTTTTGCAGAGGTGCTCAGAACACAACAGTTTAGAAGCATATATGTATAAAGATACACAACACATCTCTCCGAACTGCCAATATCACAAAACCCCTCCTTTAGAGTGCAGGCATTGTACTTCCCATTTCCAGGACTCAAGTTCGACTATATAAAAATAACCGGTTTCCCTTAATCCCTTCACTAAATATTACCCTGCTCACACTCCAACAGATCACCAGGTCCCAAATACCATTCGTCTCCATTCACTCCTATCGAACACGCTCATGCACGCCTGATGGAAGTCAAAGCCCCTCGCCCACAAAACCTCCCTTACCTCTTCCTTCCAACCTTTTCGAGGACGACCCCTACCCCACCTTCCTTCTACAGATTTAAATGCTCTCCATGTCATTCTACTTTGATCCATTCTCTCTAAATGACAAAACCACCTCAACAACCCCTCTTCAGCTCTCTGACTAATACTTTTATTAACTCCACACCTCCTAATTTCCACACTCCGAATTTTCTGCATAATATTTACACCACACATTGCCCTTAGACAGGACATCTCCACTGCCTCCAACCATCTCCTCGCTGCTGCATTCACAACCCAAGCTTCACACCCATATAAGTGTTGGTACTACTCTACTTTTATACATTCCCTTCTTTGCCTCTATAGATAACGTTTTTTGACTCCACATATACCTCAATGCACCACTCACCTTTTTTCCCTCATCAATTCTATGATTAACTTCATCCTTCATAAATCCATCCGCTGACACGTCAACTCCCAAGTATCTGAAAACATTCACTTCTTCCATACTCCCCCTCCCCAATTTGATATCCAATTTTTCTTTATCTAAATCATTTGATACCTTCATCACTTTACTCTTTTCTATGTTCACTTTCAACTTTCTACCTTTACACACACTCCCAAACTCATCCACTAACCTTCGCAATTTTTCTTTAGAATCTCCCATAAGTACAGTATCATCAGCAAAAAGTAACTCTGTCAATTCCCATTTTGTATTTGATTCCCCATAATTTAATCCCACCCCTCTCCCGAACATCCTAGCATTTACTTCTTTTACAACCCCATCTATAAATATATTAAACAACCATGGTGACATTACACATCCCTGTCTAAGACCTACTTTTACCGGGAAGTAGTCTCACTCTCTTCTACACACCCTAACCTGAGCCTCACTATCCTCATAAAAGTGTTACACGAAATTAAAAGTGCTACACCAGTGAACACTAAAATTACAAGAAAATGTGAAAACCTTACTGCTGACATGGAAAATCTTTTACTGGAGTGGATTAACTATCAAACTAGTCACAACGTGTCATTAAGTCATTATCTAGTCCAAGGTCCTAATCTTCCAGTTCTATGAAGGCTGAGAGAGATGAGGAAGCTACTGAAGATAAATTTGAAGCTAGCAGAGGCTGGTTTGGCATCTTAATGTTAAATTGCAGACACACTAATATTATTTACGTATTTGTCATGTATTGCTGATGCTGCATAAATAATCACTTGGTACTTTTGCCTCTGAATTTTTATACAGTCTGTTAATTAACTATTTTAATAATTTTTCCTGGGCATAGCTCTTTACACCTATTGAGGTGCTTATCCATAACAATTAAGTCCTAATGGTTTGAAAGGAAGGGCCTGGGAGCCCATCAGTCTACCCTAGGTGGTCCCTAAGGGAGGGCCTGGGAGCCCATCAGTCTTCCCTGGGAGATCTGTAAGGGAGGGCCTGGGAGTCCATCAGTCTACCTTAGGAGGTCCCTAAGGGAGGGCCTGGGAGCCCATCAGTCTACCTTAGGAGGTCCCTAAGGGAGGGCCTGGGAGCCCATCAGTCTACTCTGGGAGGTGAGTGTAACATGGTTTTTCTCAGTGGTACCTATGCCAAGTGTGTGTTACCTTGGCTTTTGTCTCTCATTAAACTCCAACATATACAAAAATTATATAAGGAAAATTAAGGGCAAAATTGGGGAAGAGACTGGGCAAGGAAGAAGATGAGTCAATATGGGAACACAAGGATAAATAAATATTTCACAAGAGGCAAGCTAGTGTGAGCCTGTCACAGCCTAAACTTACCCTAATGAAAACTGTGAGAATTAGGGATGATAGATTAGCTAGTATGAGGCTTAGTAGATATAGGGTACATACCAAATTAGTGGTTATGTTATATTTGCAAAGTATTTTTAAACTTACATTTTGTTTTATTCTTCAACTCGTCAAAGTACTTGACTGCAAGACGTTTAATATAGAAGGACTTGAGACCAAACTTCTTTGGCCACTGAAAAGCTTCTCCAACCAGCTTCACCAGTCGAACCATGTCTCTCACCTTCACTGAAATGAGAATAAACTACCTTGAATAAAGTTTGAGAATGATGACAAAAGTTTAATATTTTGTTCTGAATATTAATCTAGAGGGTTAGTACCCTTGAATAACCCAATAAATTCATGTCATTAGACTGTCTGACTTATTTCCATTTGGATCTATTGATCCTCTCCCCCAGGATATAACCTGCACAAGTCGGCTAACACCTTGGTACCCATTTACTGCTAGGTCAACACGGACAAGAAGTGTAAGTAAACATCCCCAAAATTTACACTCATCTGAGGAATGAATCCCAGCCCCTCAGTGTGAAAAGTGAGCTTACTACCAGTTGGTATTACTGGAATTCAGCTACCTCTCACATATTAAATTGTTACAGCGGAAGACATAACTTGATAAGAGTGTTTGATTGGCAACAGGTTAAGATAAATATAAAAAATACAAATAGGTTAAGAAAAAATATTAAAATATGAACAGGTTGAGGAAATATAAAACAAAAAGGTTAAAGAAAAAAAAAAAGAATACAAACAGGTTAACCCTTTCACTGTCATGGTAATTACAGGTGACAGTGTCATCATTAAAAAAAATATTAATAATTTTATCTTCTGAAATGGGATAGAATCTTTTTCTGAATGTAATGACACCATGAATGCAAAATTTGATGGAAATCTTATGGAATTATGCAAGTGCAAATTTGGTGATTTGGGTGCAGTTTACAAAAGTAATATTAGCTATTCTGCAAGTTATTTCTGTTCTATAGATTGAGCACAATAAATTGCCTATTTAACTATGCAAACTACCCTAAATTGTGCAGAGAATTTGGTAACTCAATTTTATACAAAACTTAAAAAAAAATTAATAAACACTGCAGGCATTCTAGGCATCAAAAAATTTCTCGACTCATTAATCATGTCTTCAGGCCTCTACTATATAAATTCAGATACTTTATTTCTTTCAAGCAGTATACAGATAATTAGTTCACATGTAAAATAAAGAAAACCACTAGTATGCTGTGCATTTCAGGCAAACTACCCTTGATCTTTATTTTGAATCCATCATCACACTATATATCAATGTATATAGTTTTTTCCCCATTTCTCGGATAATAAAACGTAATAAAGAATGATTGGCTAATGTATAGGCAACCCTAATAATTGAAGAAGACTTAATAAAAAGGCCCAACCCATTCCCTGACAAAAATTGAGTTTGTCCTGCCCTGAAATTAAACCAAAATTATCTCTACTTCAATATTGCATAAAAACAGCCAATAAAACCATAAAAACCAACAAAAATGCCTCTAAATCTTTATCTTAAATCTACCATAACGTCAGAAGTTTTCTTTGCCCAACATAAACCATGAGGGGCGGGATTTTTTTGTTTACTGTGCACACTCACTGCAAAGACCCATTCTCTATATAAGACAAAATCTGCCACTCACAGCTTATTTTAGGGTGCTGAGCTCAAAATGAGGATCTACATGAGTGACACTTGTGTAGTAGATTTATGTGAGAGATGGCAAAAGGATTATAAAGCAAATATAAGAATACAAATGGATAAAGGAATTTTAAAAACAAGCAGGTTAGAAGACACACACACACACACACACAATGGAGTGTGGGTTTTAAAGCCAGAAGGCAGGATGCCTTAATTAATAATGATTTTAAACACTGATAACACTATATACATATGAATATCTAGCATAGCAGCACTAAGGGGATGCCCTGGGGGGCTTCACCCCCATAATTTCCTTTAATCACTAAAAACCGTTCCTGTCATGAAAACAATCAGTTATTCAACTTATTCTTGGGTATAAACCTTCCCCTATGCTAGATGCTCATATTAAGACTTAAGTGGAGGAGCACTGCAGAGGTTTGACTTATTGTTAATAAAAGAACACATGTACAACTAATGAGACATTTTATTGCAGCAATGTTTCACTCTCCAGGAGCTTTGTTAAACCTGGCAAGAGCGAAACATTGTTGCAGGATAATATCTCATTAGTTAAACATTTGTTCTTTTTCCTAACATTATTGTGGATAATTCTAGCAACATTATTTACTACTGGCTTATTCTCTTAGTACCTAATACTATGGTCACCTAACTTGTATGCCTTTATACCATGTACCACTAAATTCTTTGTGACTCTACTGCCCCCACCAACTGTACCGGTGATCCCATAAGAGGGAAAAATGCAAGCGGAACAACTTCAAGAATAACACCAAAGCACCAAGGAAACTATTTCCCATCATGTCTACCCTACAGGATGCCAGCACATCATCCACCCTTCATCTCCCTGGCAATGCATCAAAAACAAGCACGACCTTCATCTTATCATGTTGCCCAAACCCCAGCTGACCACACAACAACAACCCTGGCTGACCTACATGACCACTCTACCTCAATCAATGGCATCTACCATTACTCATGTACATCCTCTGATAAAGCCTCACCAACGACTCATCAACACCATACGGAGCATGATACATTAAAGCAGTATACGTACTGTGATCAAGAAATGAAATCAGTGAAAAAAAAGATTACAAACCTCGAGCACTCTCCAATGACTGAAAACACGAGGATCAACAAACTAGAACAAAAACTGACTACATGGAGTTTACCTGGAGAAGGTTTCGGGAGTCAACACCCCTGTGGCCTGGTCTCAGACCAGGCCTCATGGTGGATCAGGGTCTGATCAACCAGGCTGTTACTGCTGGTCACACGCAAGCTCACGTACGAACCACAACCCAGTTGGTCAGGTTCTGACTTTAGGTACCTGTCCAGTGTCTTCTTGAAGACAGCCAGGGATAATCCCCCTTATGTATGCTGGGAGGCAATTGAACAGTCGGGGACCCCAGACACTTGTTGTGCTGTCTCTCTATGCACTCGTGGCGCCCCTGCTTTTCATCAGGGGAATGTTGCATCTCCTGCCGAGTCTTTTGCTTTCATAGGGAGTGATTTTCGTGTGAAGGTTTGGTGCCAATCCTTCCAGGACCTTCCAAGTGTATATTATCATGCATCTCTCTCGCCTGCATTCGAGGGAATACAGATCAAGGACCTTCCACCGTTCCCAGCAGTTTAGGTGCCTTATCGTACTTATGTGTGCAGTGAAAGTTATTTGTACACTCTCCAGGTCTGCAATGTCGCCAGCCTTGAAGGGGGGGGAGGGCGTTAGTGTACAGCAGTATTCTAGCCTAGAGACCACAAGCAATTTGAAGAGAATCATCATGGGCTTGGTGTCCCTAGTTTTGAAGGTTCTCATTATCCATCCTATCATTTAGATGTAGATACATTGTTGTGGTCTTTGAAGGTGAGGTCCTCTGACATTATCATTCCCAGGTCCTTCACATTACTTTTCCGCTCTATTGTATGGTTAGAATTTGTCATATACCCTGATACATTTTTAATTTTTTCAAGTTTCCCATATCTAGTAGTTGAAATTTCTCCTCGTTGAACTTCACATTGTTTTGAGTGGTCCATTTGGAGATTTGGTTGACGTCCGCTTGGAGTCTCATGGTATCTTCGATGGAGGTCACTGCCATGGTAATCCGGGTGCCATCCTCAAAGGAAGACACGGAGCTATGGCTTACACCTCTGTCTATGTCAGAAATGAGGATGAGGAATAGAATGGGAGAGAGTACTGTGCCTTGTGGAACAGAACTTTTTACCATGGCTGCCTGGGACTTCACTCTGTTTACTATTACTCTGTGTTCTATTTGTCAGGAAGTTATAGATCCATCTACCAACTTTTCCCATTATTCCTTTATCACACATTTTGTGTGCTATTACACCATGGTCACACCTGTCGAAAGCTTTTGCAAAGTCTGTGTATACTACCATTGGTATTTTGTTTATCCTCTACAGCATTCAGGACCTTGTCATAGTGGTCCAGTAGCTGGGACAGGCAGGAGCGACCTGCTCTTAACCCGCGCTGCCCTGGGTTGTATAACAGATGGGTATCTAGGTGGTTGGCGATCTTGCTTCTTAGAACCCTCTCAAAGATTTTTATGATATGGGATGTTAGTGCTATCGGTCTGTAGTTCTTTGCAATTGCTTTACTGCCACCTTTGTGGAGTGGGGCTATGTCTGTTGTTTTTAGTGTGTGTGCGATGACCCATGTGTCCATGCTCCCTCTCCATAAAATGCTGAAGGGATGCGATAGGGGCTTCTTGCAGTTCTTGATGAACATGGAATTCCATGAGTCTGGGCCTGGGGCAGAGTGCATGGGTATGTCATTTATTGCCTTTCAAAGTTTTGTGGAGTTAGAATAATATCCGAGATGACCAAATTTTGGGTTTCGTTCATAAAGAATTCATTTGGATTGTTGACCCTTAGTCTGGGCAGTGGCTCACTGAACATCGAGTCATGTTGGGACTTTAGTATCTCACTCATTTCTTGGCTGTCATCTGTGTATGTTCCATCCCACCTAAGCAGGGCCCAATACTGGATGAATGAGGAACTGGTATGAATTCAAACAACTGTTGTGAGTCATACAGAACAAATAACTTATCTAAATACCAAGATGGCAGAAGCCTGTGCAAGATCTGAGTCAAAATGGACTCACAATTAGATATATGCGTCCAGAATCAAACAGATCTAATGGAACAGCAACAGTTATTAGATGCTGTAATTTTAAACAGTCCTAGTTTACATGAACACACAAACCATGATACTTGCTTACACAATGCACAGCAGCTAATCAAAGATGAGATGAAGGTTAACACAGACAATAACTGTAACAAGGAGGCCTGACTGATAGGAAAACTGGGTCAACAACACAGTGTTTTGATAAGATTTCATTCAACTGATGTATAAAAATGACCCAATCGATACTCCATCAAGATGAAGCATAGAACATCAATGCTTTACGCGTGATGGTAAATTCTCAGTAAACACATCAGCCATAGGGCGCATGCATGAAATAACAAATGAACAAGATCTATTGAGATTCCTTAGAGCCAATATCCTGACCAAGTCTGTCTAGTCCACAGATCAAACCAACAATATCCAACATATAGTGCAATGTACCACGTTCCTTAGTACTACTGCAGTAAGTAGTACCATATTTCACTTGTTTGTTATAAATTAAGTATCATTTATTCACTTTACATAATTCACTATATGTATTTCCTTGATATACTAAATTGTTTACTAGCACATTTTTTAGTACTGATAAATTCTGTCATCTTGTTTATTAGTTATTAGCGTAATATTCTACCTACTTGTATATTTTTTATTCTTGACTAATTATATTATTATTCACTATACATTATTAACTATAAACCAGTAGACAGATAAGGTATTTTTTAGCATCATTTTTAACTACTACCTTTTTGTCCTGCTAGTTCATAAGTGTATTATCTTACTAGTAAGATCATCCAACTTTTTCATGAATGAAAACATCGACCCTGATTTAAATCTCCTAAAAGTAACTGTCCATACTACACAGCAAACCAAGCTTAAACTCTCCTAGCAATGCCAGGAAAATATCAGTTTTCAATTACAACATCAGATCCCTAAGTAAACACAATTATGACCTTCTGGCACTCGTAGATATTTTAAAATGTCATCTTCTCTTGAATTATACTTACTGACACCTGGCTTAAGCAAGACAACAGATATCTATACACTACATGGCTACTACACTTACTGACACCTGGCTTAAGCAAGACAACAGATATCTATACACTACGTAGTAGTATGGCTACGTAGTAGTATGTCACTGATGTCACTTACGCCTGTATACCATGTACATGTACTTGTAGTAAATAAAGATTATTATTATTATACTACTACCTGGTGACTTCAATATTAACATTAGACTAAGAAATGACCAACCAGTAACTGACTTCATAAACAGTATGAACAATTCATTGCTTATACTAGCCATAATGAAACCAGCAAGGTTAACCGAGGTTAGATGAGTGCAACCATAACTGACAATATATGAACAAATATATTAGCTCCACTTAAAGCAGGAATAATCACAGATAATTCTACCAATCACTGTCCCACCTTCCTTATCACAAATATTTGTAAGCTAGCAAATGAATATGGTAAGATCTCTTCATCTCCATAATGAAACATCAATGAATAACTTCACTACAGCACTAAGTTCCACTAACTGGCCCACAGAATTTTCCAATGACAGAGACATCAATAAATATTTGGAGTATACCTGGAGAGGGTTTTGGGGGTCAATGCCCCCACAGCCCAGTCTGTGACCAGGCCTCATTGTGGATCAAGGCCTGATCACCTAAGCTGTTCCTGTTGGCTGCATGTAAACCAACTTACGAACCACACCCCGACTTTAGATGCCTGTCCAGTGCTATCTTGAAGGCAGCCTTATGTATACTGGGATGCAGTTGAACAGTCTTGGGCCCCTTACACTTATTGTGTAGTCTCTAATCATGCTAGTGGCACCCCTGCTTTTCATTGGGGGGATGTTGCATCGCCTGCCAAGTCTTCTGCTTTCATAGAGTGACTTTCGTGTGCAAATTTGGTGCTAATTCCCCTAGGATTTTCCAAGGGTACATAATCATGTATCTCCTGCTTGCGCTTCAAGGAGTACAGGTCGAGGAACTTCAACCGTTCCCAGTAATTTCGGTTTTATCACACTTATGTGTGCTGTGAAGGCTCTCTGTATATATTCTAGGTCAGCAGTTTCACCTGCCTTAAAAGGTGCTGATAGTGTGCAACAATATTCCAGTCTAGATAGAACAAGTGGCCTGAAGAGTGTCATCATGGGCTTGGCATCCCTAGTTTTGAAGGTTCTCATTATCCATCCTGTCATTTTTCTAGCAGATGCGATTGATACAATGTTGTGGTCTTTGAAAGTGAGATCCTCTGACAATATTGCTCCCAGGTCCTTTACATTAGTTTTTCACTCTAATGTGTGGTTGGAATTTGTTTTAGACTCTGATATAGTTTTAATTTCCTCACATTTTTCCATACTGAAGTAACTAAAATTTCTCATCATTGAATTTCATATTGTTTTCTGCAGCCCATTTAAAGATATGGTTGATGTCCGCCTGGAGTCTTTCAGCGTCATCTATGAATGACGCTGTCATGGAAATTCGGGTGTCATCCACAAAGGAAGACATGGTGCTGTGGCTTACATCTCTATGTCAAATATGATGAATAAGGAACAGGATGGAGGGTGAGTACTGTGCCCTGTGGAACAGAACTTTTCACTGTGGCTGCCACAGATTTTACTGTTTACTATTGCCCTCTATGCTCTATTTGTTAGGAAGTTATAGATCCATCTACCAACTTTACCGGTTATTCCACTATTGCGCATTTTGTGTGCTATTACACCATGGTTGCACTTGTTGAAGGCTTTTGCAAAGTCTGTGTATACTACATCTGCATTTTGTTTGTCCTCCAGTGCATCTTGTTTGTCCTCCAGTGCATCTAAGACCTTGTCATGGTGGTCCAGTAGTTGGGACAGGCAGGAGTGACCCTCTATAAACCCATGTTGCCCTGGTTAGGTTAGGTAAGGTTCGTCAGGAACTAGGACAAGTGCTCCCTGATGTGTGTGTTAGTCAGATGATGATCCACTGTTGGTGCTTTTGGTCATCTGACTAAGGTGTTTTGCTGACTTACTGGTCCTCCCCTTCAAAAAATTTGGTCATAATTATAACCATTATTGCATGCTTTCCCTGGTTTGTGTAACTGATGGATATCTAGGTGGGTGGCAATCTCTGTCTCTGAAGTGGTTGTCATACTTTTAAAATTGTACCATTTGTTCTATAGCTACATTTCTTATGCTACATATGAATGTAATTAACTGCATAAGAAATCCTACTTAATAGTCTGTGTCTAATTCTTAAGTAGACTTTAAGCATTAGGACTAGTTTGTCCAATATAGATTATATACTGGTGGCTCATTATGTGAGCTGAGTGTGTTGCCAACCTAGAAATGACACTTAACCTCTCTCCAACTCCCATAAATATCCATGTCTAGTTCTCTATGTGAAGTGATAAAATCACTGGTGGATGAAATGTCTTCACAATAAAATGCCATAACCTGCACTGTCTTATTTACATACTGTTGGTATATGTTACCATTATATGACCCTACCAATTATCAAATGCAAGACAGCAAGATAAGAGGGTTACCCACCGAGGATAACCCGAGAAGGTCAGTGTGCTATCAAGGCCTGTGTCTTATTTGCACTGGGGTCCTTCAATCTTGTTCCCTAGTATGCGACCCACATCAGTCGACTAACACCCAGGTATGTACTACCTACTCAACTACACTTGTGAATTCTGAGTCACAACAACAAATGGGGAGAAAGAGAGGTCTGCACTGCCTGGTGTCTACACCACTATGCTAGAAGGTACGACGCATACCATATACAGTATGTATGTTAGTGATGCCCACCCAGTCTTTCAAGGAAGTGATTTGTGATTGATAATTGAGGGAATAGTCTCCATCCTGTAAATTTAGTCATTAAACTAGTAGTAACAGGCCAGTAGATAGAGACAATTGTATTATTATTATTACATTCACAGAAAAGGCAAAATAAGTAAGAAGGAACATAATGGAGTGATAATTAATAGGCTGTATGCCCAATATGTTAACAGTATATCATTTTCTATTTAAAATGGTATTTTTTTTAAGTTTTGGTGAAAAAATCTAAAATAGATAAATAATATTTTTGGTTCAACCTCAATCATAACACTGCTAACAAAAGCTTTTCCCATATTCCCCATATTTATTTGATCAAGTTTATGAGTGACAAGTGATAATGGAAATATTCTTTAAAGGCATGTTACTATATAACTGCATAATGGCATTTCACCCGTAATTATTACTTTTGAAAAATACACTAGAATAAGTTTAATTAACTTAATGTACTGTATTTGCAAATACGATAATAAATGCTTACCATTTGACTTCAAAAACTCTTTCTCCAGCATGGAAAATGAAATATTGCAGAGATAATCTTTGTTTCCAGCATTTCCTGGTACTGCTGGAGAGAAGAAATAAATGGGTGAACAATTCCTTTCAAGCGTTGAGATGTAGCTTTGTAGTGACTGTGGGAGGCTCTGAAGTTTCACCAGGTGTGAGCTCTTCCAGTCTCGAACTGAAATTGTTTTAATTATATATTACTGGTAAGTACATTATCTCTCATAACTTAATTAAGTGTCCAGACCCCCTGATCCATAAAGTGTCCACAGGGTCCAAGTTGCTTTCCATTTTGAATTTTTATTCATACAAAAATAGAAGATTTACTAATATGCAGACTATTGCATTATTGTAATAATTGTATAAAGACTGTCTGCATTCATCCAATACATGTCCAACCAGCTGGACATGTATTGGATGAGTAACTTAATTTGTGTACTCTAGAATATTGGCAAAAATCAAACATTTAATCAATTTTGAGCTCAGTTTCCAGCAATTTTCAGTTTAACACCATTATTTCTGTAATATATTTTCCATTCTATCAAATGAGACCAAGAAACCATGAATACAACCATAAAAACCATATCAAATACACTGCAAATTCGATATTAACCCTTTCACTGTTGGTGCCATATAAATACGTCTTACGAGCCAGTGTTGGTGACATATTAATACACCAAAATTCTAGCGGCTTCAAATCTAGCGGGAGAAAGCTGGTAGGCCTACACTGTGAGAGAATGGACCTACGTCATCAGTGTGTCCAGTATACAAAAAAAATCAGGGCACCCGCACTGCATTGTGGGAACACCATTTCAGTATTCCTTGTTTGCCATGCCTTGAGGTAAGAAATATCTCACTCCCCGGTGAAATGGGACTCTTCTGTTCCCAACTGATAATTCTAACACAGATGCAAGTGTCAGTGAAGATGAATTTCATGGTTTTGATGAGTTTGTGCCTGAAAGTAATGCCCAGGATACCAGGAAGGAAGGAAAGAAGAAAGGAAGGAAGAAAGAAAAAGGAAGGAAGGAAGGAAGAAATAAGGAGAAGGGAAAGAAGGAAGGATGACCCAGATGACCATCAACCTTGGATAACCCAAATAAGTCAAGTGACTTATTTCCATGTGAGTGGTGGGGAAGACAGCAATGCTTCATGGGGAAGACAGTGTGAGTAATAATAATAATAATATCTTTATTTTACTACAAGTACATGTACAGGGTATACAGTCCTAGCTGATAACAATGACATACTACTATATAGAAAGTCCCTTGTTATGCTCCGCATTTCGGGCAAATTAGGTCAGTGTCCCAGGATGCGACCCACACCAGTCGACTAACACCCAGGTACCCATTTTACTGATGGGGAACATAACCAACAGGTGGAAAGAAACATGTCCAATGTTTCTACTCTGGCTGGGAATCGAACCCAGGCCCTCGCCGTGTGAAGCGAGAGCGTTAACCACCAGGCCACCAGAGCCTGGGTGGTGGTGTTGTGTAATGTGTCATTGTGACACCAGCCATGCAGCTGACTCAGCACATCCACAACAAAGGCCACCCACACACAAACCTTCCACTAGCAATTCTAGGAACATGTCCAGTGATTATATGTGTGTATATTATAGTACAATATTAATAAACAGCTTTTTTTATTTTTTTGGTTTACATAAACAGGTTTTGTAAACATTGTAATGATGATATTTGTGTGGTTGTTGTGTTGCATACAATGAATTGATATACATATATACATTACACATTACATTGGTCTCATAGGCCACAAAAGTTACTTGAAAAAATAAAATATTAAAAAATATAAGAAAAAAGTACAATAAAAGTAAAAATAATAGTGGGCCCTCGGCAAATGCCTTTAATCCATTCCAGAGAGTTAGCCTTTAGCCGAATTAATTTTCCCCATAAGAAATAATGGAAATCCAACTAATCTGTTCCAGACACCCAAAAGTATTAAAAAAAATTTTTTTTTTTTTACATGAAATATAAATTTCCCTACACAGAAAACAATGATACATGCAAAATAAGAATACTGAAATGACACCTACCTTTATTGTAGACTTGTTGATGAGTGATGAGACAGAAAGGGGGGAGATGATAGTGTTCTAGTGTTTGGTAGGGGAATCCCCTTCCATAAAGACTGCAGGTACCAAGTCCTTTTCTGGGGTTACCTCCCTTCTTGTTTTTTAATGCCACTAGGACCAGCTTGAGTCACTGGACCTGTCACACAAAATATCTGTCCAGAGAGCTCTGTTTCTCACGTCCTTTTAAGATTTCCCTAAAATGAGACACAAGAGTGTCAGTGTACATATTGCCAATACAGCTTGCAACAACAGTGTCAGGATAATATTCATCCATAAATGCTTGCAACTTTGTAAACATTGTACACATTTCCTTAATCTCTGACGAAGGCAACTTCCTCTGTCTCTCTTCCTCCTCCTCTGAAGAAAATTCCTGAGCTGTGATCTGTTGCTGTTGCACCTGAAGCTCTTGCAGCTCTGTGGTGGTTAGCTCTTCACTGTCATCCTCCACCAACACTTCCACATCCTCGCCACAAACCTCCAACCCCGTGGACTTCCCCAATGCCACAATAGATTCCACAACTGGCATAGGCTCATGAGGGTCAGCCCCAAACCCTTCAAAATCCCTCTCTTGTACATATTGTGGCCACAATTTTCTCCAAGCAGAGTTTGAAGTCCTGCAGGTCACTCCCTCCCAAGCCTTATCTATAAAGTTTATACAACTGAGGATACTGAAGTTATCTTTCCAGAACTCTCTTAGGGTCAATTCAGTGTCTGAGGTCACTTCAAAGCACTTTTGAAAAACTGCTTTGGTGTACAATTTTTCGAAGTTTGAAATGACCTGCTGGTCCATGGGCTGGAAGGAGAAGTTGTATTAGGAGGCAAAAACTTCACTTTGATGAAGCTCAACTCCCGGCAACTCGTTCCTGCAAGTCATGAGATTGAGCAGGAGAATTGTCCATTACCAGGAGGCACTTGAGTGACAATTTATTTTCCAGGAGGTACTTTTTCACAGTGGGGCCAAACACATCATAGAACCAGTCCACAAAAATGTCCCTAGTGACCCATGCCTTACTGTTTGCTCTCCATATCACACACAATTTAGTCTTATGACATAGTTTTTCTTGAACACTCTGGGAGTTTCAGAGTGATACATGAGAAAAGGCTTCAATTTGCAATCCCCATTAGCATTACTACAAAACATGAGAGTTAGCCTGTCTTTCACAGGCTTGTGTCCTGGGAGTGCCTTTTCCTCCTGAGTAATGTAGGTCCTGTTTGGCATTTTCTTCCAAAACAGGCCTTTTTTGTCACTAACACTTGTTGGGGTTTCAATTTTTCAGTGTCTATGTACTCCTTAAAGTCCTGCACATATTTTTCAGCCGCTTTTTTGTCAGAACTGGCAGCCTCACCATGCCTTATCACACTGTGTATGCCACTACGATTCTTAACTCTCTCAAACCAGCCTTTGCTGGCCTTAAATTCATCAACAGCAACACTATTTGGAGGCATTTTCTTAATGAGATCATCATGCAACTACCTTGCCCTTTCACATATTGTTGACTGAGAAACACTATCTCCTGATAACTGTTTCTTCTTTATCCACACCAACAACAGTCTCTCTACATTTTCAAGTATTTGCGATCTGTGATGCAGCAGTTAGTCAAGGGTCCACTGTATTACCGAGTGAGTAGCCCGGTGGCCTGGTGGCGGGTGGCCTGGTGGCTAAAGCTCCCGCTTCACACACGGAGGGCCCGGGTTCGATTCCCGGCGGGTGGAAACATTTCGACATGTTTCCTTACACCTGTTGTCCTGTTCACCTAGCAGCAAATAGGTACCTGGGTGTTAGTCGACTGGTGTGGGTCGCATCCTGGGGGACAAGATTAAGGACCCCAATGGAAATAAGTTAGACAGTCCTCGATGACGCACTGACTTTCTTGGGTTATCCTGGGTGGCTAACCCTCCGGGGTTAAAAATCCGAACGAAATCTTATCTCTTATCTAGCAGTCATCGCTGTTTCTGTAAGAGGTTCACTTTGTCAACTTCATGCATCTATATCTCGGCAAGTAATGATGGCAATATTTTTTTTTTTAAACAATTCTAAAAACATTCTTAAGATTTCGCTAAGAATTTTTCTTTTTTTGAATATTTTCCGACACAGAATGAGTTTAAAATCAAGGGTCTCGACAGTTAACCCGTAAACAGTCCAAACATATATATTCGTTTTTTTCAACATTTGAAAGTATGTAAAAAAAGTAGATTTTTTTTTTTTTATATTTGAAAATGTGTAAAAAACTTTTACTTTTTTTTTATTACATTTGAAAATATGTGAAAAAGAACTTAGATCTACTTTTGGAGCACTACACATGTGAACGTAGATCTGCTTGGACCATTTATGGGTTAAAAGATTAAACCAAAAACATGGTCGCATTGTTTTTTTCTTATTATGCACTGCGTGCTGCAGGATTTTTTATGTGGTACACACTTACTGCATGGAACCTTTCTCTCGTATCTAGGCCCAAATTTACTGCTCACAGCTTATCTGAGTGAGGTGAGCTCATGGTGTAGTTTTATGGCTCAGATGCTGACTTCAGACTTGTAATATTATGGTACAGACAGCAAGTGGTCAAAGACGGATATTTCAAAAGTTAATCAATAATAAAAAAAATATATACATATATATTTAGCAACCATCCATATATTCCACAATTTTTAGGGTCAGTACTTATGAGATATAAGACCGCAAAGTTGGCTCTGGATGCTCACCTGATGGCATGACTCCTGCCGCTTGCAGAAGTGTTGCTGATATACCTTTTTTTCTCGTTTTTATTTTAATTTATATATTTTTTATGTTCTGATAATTACAATTTATAACAGTTCTTGTGATTTCATAGCCAATCTTTATTCTGACACTACAGTTAGGTACTGAAATAGTACTCAAATAGTAACAATCACACTGACAGGTGAACAGTTACACTTGTTTAGGTTATTTACTATTGTATGTAAAGTAAAAGAACACAAGTGCAACTAATGTGACATTTTATTGTGGCAACGTTTCGCTTTCCAGGAGCTTTATCAAGCCATTACCATTTACTATTGTCTAGAAATATAATGTATACAAAGTATTTATAGGTCCCAGCAATGTTTTAGACACCCTG